AAATCAAAAGACAAAATCCATCAAATATCCAATAACCAATTTCAAAAATCAAAACCCATAAAAATTCAAATCAAAAGTCAAAAACCATCAGATATTCAAATCAAATAACCAATTTCAAAAATCAAAACCCGTAAAAATTTAAATCAAAAGTTAAGAACCATCAAATATTCAAATCAAATTACCAATTTCAAAAATCAAACCCTTAAATTAAATCAAAAGCCAAGGTCTGTCAAATGTTTAAATTAAATAACTAAAACCTACAAAAATTCCAACATTTAAATCAAAAAAATAATTTTAAAAATCAAAACCCGTGAAAATTCAAATCAAAATTCAAAATCCATCAAATATCTAAATCAAAATCAAGACCTATAAAAAACTCGAATGAAAAACCCAAATCCGTATTAACTTAGTAAAGTTTCACCAAACAAATAGTAAATTCAATCTTCAACGCCAATCATCAAAAACTTAAATCCGTAAAAAATCAAATCAAAATTTATAGGCTCTCATCAAATTACCAAACTTAACTTAAAAGCTTCTGTCGAATAACAAATTCAAACTTCATAACATTGACTATCAAAAAACCTATATCCATAAAAATCAACAATCTTTCAAATTAAAATTTATAAGCATTCATCAATTCACACAATCGAACTTAAAAATCAAACCCAATCTATAGGCATCCAGCAAATAACAAATTTGAAATCCATAAAAATAATAATTAAAAAAAAAACTTACAAGCTTCATCCCGTACTAAAAACTATCAAGTCATCAATCACCAATGCATGCATCAAAAATCAAACATCAACTAATGCTAACTATTTTTGGGATGGCGCCACTATGTTTTTTCTTGTGCTTGTTTGACAATTATAATCGCCTTTCAAGGCTTGGGATGGTACAACACCTTCCAAGCAAGGTTTTGCACTACATTAACTTCAACCTTGATTGAAATTCCAGTAGTAAAATCTCCTCCTCCAAACTCCTTGCCCTCACAAAAATCTTTGTGTACTTATTTTTCTTTATTGTTCGGCAGCTTGCTACCTCCGACAAAGAGGGGCAACTGTTAGCACCCAATTTTTGCTCGGTTCCTTCACCCTACTTCCTTGTGCGCTCCTCTTAGACCCCAAATACTTAGAAACATAATCAGATCAACTTGAGACTTTCTAAAACCCGAATGCACTCCTTTGAAACAATCCACAAGACAAATAACAACCTTAAGATCAACATCAACGTCTGATCAGACACTTTTCCTAGACTTGGAAAAAACTATAACTTAGTTACACATCAATTTTCATGACTAAACTATAAAGATCCACCGTTCATCATGTCAACCCCTTTCTAACGGCCTCGATCTATAAAACATTCAAACTCCAACTCTTTAAAATCAAATCCAATACACCCATCACCTTAAGATCACTATGAAAGCCAACGAATCCCAACATGAATATACAATGATCAACCGCAAAAGCATCAAGATCTCATTCCGATGGCCTTGAGTGATTGCCAATGTTGATCTTATCCTTCTCATCCACTTGACTCATCTCTTCAATCCATGCCCACCCACCAAATTGTAGCTCAAAATTCCCCCATTTGACCCGCCATCAAGCCTAGATCAAATCTTAACAAATCTCATTAATTAGAGCTTACCATCTGTCATCCCAACTTCATATGATCAATCAGACCTTATCATTGTGTTCGGAGATCCAAAAAAACCCTAGCACGTCAAGTTTCATGACCAAACACCTCCACTTGATCATTGAAAAAGTAAGATTTCATTTTGGACACTCTCGTTGATTGGAAAACCATAAGTTAAGACCATGATTTGAACTAAAACTGTTAATCCACACCTTTGACCAAAGATCCATAACTTCCATTAGATTCAGGACATTGAAAATTTCTAACCCACCAAGTTGCATCCCAAAATTCCCACATTTGACCCTCCATCAAACAAAGATTCCATTTTAGCAAATCTCATTTATCCAAACTTATCACCCATAGATCTCAATCATCTCTACCCTATTTGACTAATTAGATATTATCACTATGTTAAGAGACCAAAAAAACCCCAGCACACCAAATTTTATATCCCAATTCATTTATTTGACCATTAAACTAGAAAGATACCATTTCGATGCACTAGATTAAATTGCCACATCATTTGCCCCAACCTGAAGCCTCAAAAGGATGATGGATAATGTCAGACCCATTCTTGACCCATTAGAACACCTGTACTAATGAAATAGAGCCTAATAGGCTTAAAAAGCTCTAAATACCAAACAAACCCCTACTTAAAACCAAGAAAAAACAAAATAACATTTAAAAGTTCATCAAATTTACATTTTCTACCACTAACAACCCCAAACACAAGACTGCCATCACAGACATGCCCTAAGCTCCCATTGGACACACAAAACCCGTGAAAACACCCCAATATTGAAGAAAAGTTTCACCAAACAGAAAAGCTTGACCGGGCATCTATTTTTTTGAAGAATCTTTGCTTATTTGTAGAAAAAATCTATGTGGAATCCCAGGCACTATAACTGAGCGAATTTAGATTTGACCCCATCCTATTTTCTATAAATATTGATCTAATTCGAGCTCAGGGGGGAGGAAAGGAAACCTAAGAGAGGCCCCAAAGAGAGAGGAAAAGAGAAAGGGAGAAACCTAAAGGAGAAGAGGAGGAGAAAATAGCATATTCCCAACCTCTGTAATTCCAAAGTCTTTGAAGATCAAACTTCAAATCTGCCCATCTATTTTCGGCTACACAATTTGAAACCAAAATGCACACCATCCATCCCAGTATCTCATTCAAACTTCTTCAAACTTGCTTTCATTGCTGGAAAGCTCCCGTAAAGGTACATAAGAAATGTGAGTCTTTTAGATTTTCTAAATTGCTTGTAGTTTTGAAATGTTGGAGAACCATCATTTTCAACTTCTTCTTGACTAAGAATAGAGGCAGAGAGGTGAGGGTCTTAGGGAAATCAGTACCTAAGACCTGATAACATCACCTCAAAATCGGTTTTAGGAGGAGTTGAAAGCATGTTCCTCCAGATTTAAGAAATTCTAGCAACTATTTTTGTTTTTCTCATAAAGAAACTAAGCTTGAGCAACTCCCGTATTGGGTTGCAATAGCGGCTTGGAGAGAGGGGTGCCTAACACCTTCCCTCTCCCAATCCTTGGGACCCGAAATCTCTTGGTTGTATGCCTTTCCATGGAAAACAATATTACTACCAAAGACTTAAATCGAGTTTTTTAAATCTGAAAATGAGGGCCCATTTCCTCTAAAAAATGGGGAGTGACTCCATCTCTTTGAGCCGGCCATGAGCTTCTCGGAATTCACACCAAGACCTCATAGGAAGAAACATTATGAAATTAGATTGTACAATAGCTCATATGCAATACTTTCCTTATCTCCAAAACTGAGTAAAGGAAAACCCTTTTTGCATTTTATAATATCTGTTTTGAAGGAACAATGCAGCTCTTGCAACTCCATTTTTCCTTTAAATGTTTTTTTTATCCTCCGTTGTTGGACAAGAACAAAAAGCAACTTTAGTGCCATTACTAAGGTTTTAAGAACTACCTTCACGCCTTGAATTATGGATGGGGAGGGAGTACAAAAGACCTTCCTCGTCCAATGGGCTGAACTTTTCAAATACGACATGAGGCAAAATTGTGTTTTTATGTATTATCAAATTCCACTTGGCAATGATAAAAGCAACAGTTCTTGGCAAGTCTTTTCATGCTGTCTTCTCGACTATCAGTCTTTTTTCGTTCGGTAATAAAAAATCGGAAAGATGAGAAGAACATGCGTGGAAAGACCTGAAAAGACTGAAAACACCGAATTTCAAGAAATTTCAAATGAAGTTTTCTTCTCTTTCTGTGTGATAAATAGCCTTTAAACACTTTTTTAAAAGCTCAGTAGACGAACAACTTACCAAACAGTCTTTGTCTTTAAAGACAAGACCCCAAAAGCTTAATATGTCTTTTAGCTATCTAGGCCACTGGAAGATCTTTTTATAAAGACTTGCCAAATGGCACCTTATTTTTTTCAAGCATAGGGGATTTCTGTGCCCTATGAGAGGGTGTACAACTCCTCAAGTTTGACATCAAACATGTAGGTAAGTCTTATAATAGTAACCACACTTATGGAGAGCTATTGCTCTCCTAAGAGAATATTGTGATGTCTCCATAAGAGATTGCCTTACAACCCCTTTGCATCTTTCTTTCATTTTCTAATTGAATGGATGGATTTTAGTTGTATAGATGCCCTACTAAGCTATATACGGGGCATATTGTATCAAAAATTTGATCCTTTCTATTTAGGTCCCATTTGGTTCATGGGAATAGGGGTTTGGAATTGGAATTAGAATGAATCATTTTGATTCCAATTGTTTGGTTATATGGAATTAGAATCCAATTACCAGTTGAATGGTGTTCTTCATATGAGGGAATGGCCATTCCCCCTCCCTTGGGAATGAAATCCCATTTCATTTGATTCCAATCTCTATTTTGGTTCCCATTTGGACCAAACAGATAATGGGAATAGATCATTCTAATTTCAAAGGATTTCAATTCCCATAGTGATTCCAATTTTGACTGTGAACCAAATGTACTTGTGACTTGCGAGTGCCACGGAAGAAGAGAGATAGGGAAAGAAGAAAATGGGAAAATTAGGTAAATAAAAGAAAAAGGGGGTAATTTAACATAAAAGGGTAATTTAGTAACTTTAAAGTTCATGTTGGGGTGGAAAGGGAGGTATTTGTAGCTTTTTTTCAAAAGTTAGGACTTAGAGGAGGTTTTTATTAGGATCGAAGGAGGTTTTTATATTTTACCCTTTGGCTCAGTTTGAAAAGAGTATAAATACAAATAATTTTGTATTTTTTATATGTATTTATACTGTATATATTTGAAATTTGAATTGTACTCTGTCCAGACTGAGCCTTTAGTGAAAAGAAAAAAGTATTTACATTCCACATTTGACAGTAGGAGGGAAAGAAATTATTTACGCATACGCAACGCAGGGAAGAAAAGAGCCACATACGTGAAAATTTGGTCAGGAAGAAAATAGAGGAAAATGTGAAGGGGAAACACGAAAGCAATGGGCGTTGAAAGCGGTTTCCCTCGAAACATTTAATTAATTTCTTCTTAAATAATCTCAGAATCTGTAACCTTTCCCCCCGTCCCGTGTTTTTGGATCTTCGCTGCAGACTCTACTGGTTAATTCTCCGATGAGCTCAGCCTTTTAGGTCTGAATTGGATAGTCTCTTTCTCCGTTTTGTGACCATGTCTGGAATGAGAATCGTCTTCGGTCTTCTCACCCTCGTCACTATTGGAATGATAATTGGTATCTTTCAACCCATTTATTTCACTCGTGGTTTTTCGATCTGGGGCGCGATTCCGTTGTTTTAGTATTTCCGTTGTCTTTACTGCTGGGATGGTTGGAAGGGCATGGTTCTTATATTTACTTATTTTGGTTGTTCTTGATTGTTTTTTGTTTTGATTGAAAGGCTGCCTCCTTGGTAGTTACCTTTAGTATCTTTGGTAGCTTGGCAACCTAAAATTTGTATGAATCTGTTTTTATGTCTGTAATTGGTTCATGGAGCTAGTTTCTGACTAGTGTAACAGTTAAGGTTTATTAGTTCTACCTTATTCTTGACTCTATATTGGGAATTCCAAGGTACAGAACATGGACCTCGATATTAGCTGAAAATTTTAAGTAATTTCTAGGGGGAAATCTTCATTTATTAAGGGTTGCTGAGGTGGTCCTTATGTAATGCAGAATGGGCTAAGGATTGAACCTACAATTGAGAATTGATGAGGAGTGTATACTAAATGTTGGTTCTCATCTATTGTGAAGAAGAGATAGAGCTCATTATTTTATAAAATTTGAAGATTCCATTGCTCCTATCTTTTAAATACTGTGAAAATAAGGCATAATTCGTCATTGCTTCTTTAGGTTCTTCAACTCTAAGCCGTTCAACAGGAATTAAAAGGTTTAGCTGAAGCATGATGGAAGTGCTTAATTAGGTTATCTTGGCTTTCCCGTAGTAACCAATTTCCTTGGATTGTTGATTCTGGATACCAATTTTACATAGATTAAAATCTCTACAGATCATCATCCCAAGTCCCAACTATATGGGGTTGGCTATGTTAAATCTCTGACAATGTGGGGAAAATGATTCCATTAGTTAGTTGTAGAGGCTTACCTGAGTCGTGGAAGGTACTTCCATAGACCAACAAATGAGTTGCTTTTTATATTATCTATTTCAATGTAATAATATTTTCATGCTGTTCATAGAAATTCAAAAATATTTTCTTGAACTTAAGGTAGGGGTCTACCAGAATTCATGGTTCATTAGAGCTCACTATAGTGGAACATGTATTCTTATGGCTATCTTGTGGAAGTATTATGTAGCTATGGCATTGCTTAAAAAAAAACTCTAGCTATGGCATCTAGAAATTTGAAGAATTATGATTTCATGTAGAACTTCCCATGCATTTTAGCATTAATAACTTATGAATTAGAAATTTTCTAATGTAGAGACAATGAGAAGAACTAGCTGCAGGGCTATTTTTGTACTTTTACTTCTTTTTTTGTACATTTATTTTATCTGTACACTATCTTTTGTACACTAAGGGCAGATTTGTCCTTTTACTTTCTTTAATATAAATATTTATCTTAGGGCATTGATTGTCACCAGGCAACACACCCACCAAACTGTTGTGTTCTCTCTTTTCTTTCTCTCTTTGTCCTTTTCGATTTGATTCTGACATGGTATCAGAGCAGGTCACGATTTGATATGCATTCAGTCTCTTTTCAATTCTTTCTTTTACTGTTTTCTTGAGGACTCCCTAACAGTATTTGGGAAGCTCTCGAGTGCCCTTGAATCTTCTTTTCTAGGGTTGCTTTTGATCAGAACTTTACAGACCAGTTTTCTGGACTATTACGCCATCAGATTTCTTTTTCTCATTGGATCTCTTTGTAGAGATACCAGATCAGTCTGAAAATTTAGATTTGGTGTCGCCCATAGCAGATCTATTGATTCCTTTTGGTTTGGATTGGCTTTATTTAGAACGGTTTTGATCTACTTCTGAGTTCGACAGACCATTACAGTTTCCTTTTCTGGACATCGATTGAAAGGTACTTCTCTCTACCTTCTGATCTGAATTCTATCCTTTGTTTGGAAGTGTGCATTGCTGTTCCTTGTTCTTCAATGGCGTCAGAAAGGATGGATGTTCTCCCTATTAAGTTCAATGGTACGAACTATGCATTATGGAAGTTTAATTTTCAATTCCATGTTGAGGCAAAGGGACTTTGGGGGTATTTGAATGGATTTGTGGTTTTGGAAGCTTGATAATGCAAAAATTGCATCGTGGGTTCTAGGATAAGATGAAACTAACATCGCAATCCCTATGAGAGGATACAGGGCTACCTATGAGATGTATTAGTATCTTGAGAAAGTATACCAACAATCAAACATCTCTAGACAATACCAAATAGAAGTTGATATCTTTTTGTACTATTAGGGAGAAAGGAAAGTCCAGGGATACTATGTAGGGATTGTTAGTCTCTGGATAGAGTATGAGCTAGTACATATGGGAAAGGATCTATCAGATTGTTGTGTGAAGTATATGAAGGAGCACTTTGATAGAAGGAAGATTATGCATTTCCTAATGCATCTCAGACCTGAATTTGAAGTTGTCAGATCTAATATCCTGAATGAAGGAGCTCTCCCAGATTTGGATACTATTATTGGGGAAATCTTGAGGGTTGAAACCAGATTTTCTACACAAGCCACTCTTGATGAAAGGAAAGATTCCAATATTGATATTATTTTCCTGGCAACAAAACCAAAAGGGATATGACAATCAGAATGCAATGGGTGAGTAGGTTAGCCAATGCTATGGCTGATGTCTTGGCTAAACAAGTGGCTGTTAGGGAGTTTCTGTTTGTGGCTGAGTTGTGATACTTAATTTTTCAGTTTCAACTTTCAGTTTTTTGGGCTCAAGGGTGTGGCTGCATCTCGTGCCCCCCAAGGGGAACTTGTAACTTCTTTAATCTCTGGTCAGTAAAATCTATTCATTTATCAAAAAAAAGGATGAAAATTGTTGGAATAGGAAATTATTAGGTTTAGTATTAACTGAAAATGGTCCTAATTTCTATGGGGCCTCCTGTCTGATGTATTATGGGTTTACATTTTTTTTAAGAAAAAGCAAATTATGGAAATTTTTGATTGCAAATCCTCTCAAATAGATGAAGTAATAAACACCATGCTAGCAAATTTCTCTTGGGCAAAAACATCAAATGTTTCAACTGATGCCCTTTTTTTGTAATTATCTTTTCAGTTTTTACAGATTTTTTTGGGGAAGCTTCATCCCATGAACAACATCCCAAATTATACAATCAATACAGTACTTTACTTTTTCTCAAAAGAAAAAAAGGTAAACTGAAATGACCTGGATCAATTTCAGTCCTTTAGGGATGTTGCCATGTTGGATGAACTTCTTTGATTAAGAATTTGATGGTTTTTGATGGCCATACATGCTGTTTGCAAAATTAGAAAGAAGATAAACAGGAGAAACCCATAATCACTCAACAGACACCTAGAATAACATCCAAAAAAAGGGCATCTAGAACCATAGGCATAATATAGGCTCTTTAGGGTCTGTCAAACTCCTTCCTACACCAAGAAAACTCAAAATTATGATATTCCCATTCATTCCAACAGAAAACTAAAAAAGTAACTCATAAGTTCTAACAATGTTTTAAAACTTGAAGCTAAGACCATTGTAGTCAAGGCATCTAGGTGATTTTGGTTGAAAATAGGGTGCCTAGTCACCTAGGTGACAAGAATTTTACAAAATAAAAAACTAAAATTTGGTTAGTTCTCTTGTTTTATATACCATTCAGGATGCATATTAATTGAAAAAATAGCAGTATTCTTAACAAATTTCCTCTCAAGATATGGAAAATCATCGTATCTACGACAATATCATTTTAAATATATTAATTTCAATATTTTCAAATATAACAAGTATTTAATAGAGCAATTTTATATTGAATTCGCCACTAAAGAAGGCTATAGTTTTATGTGATAAAAATTTAAGATGGAGAGTAGATAAAAGTGAAAAAGAACAAGCATGAAGCTGTTATTTTGTTTGTTATAAGAGAAAATAAGAAAACAAAAAAAAAGGAAGCTTCTGTATACTTCTATTCTTTCTCTCTTTTTCTCATCTCGAAACCCTTGCCTCTTTTTAATAATTTCAATAGTAAAGCTTTAAAACAAATATATATATATATATATATATATATATATATATATATAATATAGAATGTATTAATTGAAATATCAGTCATGGATTAAATAGCTTAGGTTTAAAACCTTGGATCATCTAGACAGGTGCCTTGTTGCTACCAAATTTTGACTGACCTTACCTTTGGCATTGTCATGCTTGTCAGCTTGAAGCTTTACTATTAGACCAAGCAATGATTCCACAAACATCTAAAATGACCAAAGTTCTCTTACTATTTTCTAATATTAGAAAAATAAAGAAAAGATTAAAAAAAAAGATTCTTTTTCCCCTACATTGCCCTTGTAGATATCTCATATTTCTCTTTAACCTTACTAATGTAATTTTATTTAATTAATCACCAAAAAGAAGAAAAGAATATCAACATCTTTCTAGTAAATCCATATTTGTGTTGAATCTATTGATTTGATATCTTTTTTTTTTTTACATCTAATTATCTTTTAACATACACACTGAAGTATTATTATGACTCAATAAATTGGGTTTTGAATTTGTAGGTGCTTTGTTTCAATTGGCTTTTATACGACGGTTGGAAGAGGCATCTGGTAAATCTTCCTTTCTTTTTAATCATGAACCAATACATGTAAAACCATAGGGAAAATCTTGTTAGTTTGATATCTTGGTAACTATAACTTTTATGGTGTTTAAAAGATTCATCTTAAGCACAATTTAATTCACATAATTTGGTGTTTTTGAGCACATAATTTATCCCACGCATGATTGTTTGCACCCGTTATATATGAATTGACTAATGATGTAATGTTAAGTGGTGAAACCAAAGAAGGATTAAATGCAAAATTAGATATACGGACAAATACTTTAAAAACAAGAGGTTTTAAAATAAGGACTAAGAATATATTCAATGAAATTTAATAATAATAGGAGAGGAACTTAGGAAGAACTTAGTCTTAGAAACCAAGGGACATTTTTTTCCTTGGATGCCTCAACACAAAGGTACAAACTAAGCTTTGTTGCAGTTTGGGTAATCCCAGGGCCTCAGGTATTGGAGGTGTGTCAAGAGATTATAATGTGTAGAGAGACTAGGCCGAATTGGCCCTAGCACTTTTCTTTTATTAAGTAATGTTTTCTTTATGTTTTATTTGTTAATGGGCCTGTTAACTTCTTTTTTGTATCTTTTAAGTGATTGATGAGCTGGCCGCCCACTTAAGGGCAAAGTTGTAATTGATCTTAGTTAAGTTAGATTAAATAAAGTTTATTGAGAGAGGGGAGAAGATTATCGAACTCTCTTCTCCTTTCTCTTCTTATCCATCTTCTTCTTTTCTGCTGTAATCATCCTTTTCTTCCTTTTTTATTGCTGTAATCAGAATTTAATCATTAGACTTGAAGGACAGATTTACTTGGCATCAAAGCAGTTCTTCCTCCTTTTTTTGTTTTTCTTTCTTTTCCCATACTCCCTTCGATTGGAAGAGTGTATGGAGACATAAGTTTCTGATTAATTAGATGACTGTTTTCCTAGTTGGTAGTGGGTTTGGAGAGTTAGTATCTGGTTGTAAATTGCCAAGAAGTGAAGCTGTTGTTTTTCTGCCCAAAACCCTAGCCGACTAGAGAGATTTCAAGTTATAGGTTAAGGAGAAGGGTTGGGTGTGGCGCTCAGTGCTTGGGGGGGTTCCTTTTGATCTCCGAAAGTGGGCAGTTGAGGTTTGAAGAAGTTTGGAAAGCTCTGGTAGGAGTGGCTACTTCTTTCTCCTAGGCAGTTGGGTGTAGTGAAACCCTAGATTTTGAACATTGAGGTATTGGATTGACCTTGTTAGGCTCACTGTTACAATATCCAACCCTTTAGGCAACACCTCGTCATCTACATTTGCTCACTCGGGTATTCGTGCTTATGCAAATCATGATATTGTTTCAGGTAATCATAACATCCCTTGGACTATTGATTCTGGTGCATCGAACATATGACCAACATATCTAACCTCTTTTGTTCATATTAGCTCCTCTCTGGTAGAGAGAAGATATCCCTTTTTGATGGGTCTCTTGCTCCCATCTCTGGAAAAGGAGATTTCAAAGCCTTTGACACCCTTGTTTTATCCTCTGCTTTTTATGTCCCCAACCTTGATACCAATGTTTTATTTGTTCGTATCTTGACTAAATCCATGATTTGTAGCATAACTTTCTTTCCTACTCATTGTATTTTTTAGGACTTGAAATCTTAGAGGATGATTGGGAGTGGCCGTGAGGTGAATCGAATATACTCGCTGGATACACCTGATAGAAGTCTTGGACCACCTAATGGAGTAGCTTTGGAATTTGTTTTATCAGAGTCTATTGATAGAGTCATGTTATGCCGTTTACGTTTTGGTCATTTACCTTTTTTTGCTTTGAGTCATTTGTTTCCCGACATGTTTAAGGGAATATCTCAATCGTGTCTTCATTGTGAGTCATGTGAACTTGCGAAACATTGTAGACATCCTTATTCAGTGAATAATAAAATATCTGTTTCTCTTTTCCATATTGTGCACTTTGATGTGTAGGGGCCATTCATTTATCTACTATGGGGGGTCACAAGTATTTTATTTTTTTTTATTGATGATTTCTCTCGCTATACATGGATTTACCTTATGAGATCTCAGGATGAAGTACCAACTATTGTGCAAAAGTTTCATGAACTTATTTTTACCCAATTTAACATTCAGATCAAAATATTTTGATTTGATAATGCTAAGGAATATTTTGAGAAGAATCTTTCATCATTCTACTTTGATGCCTTTGGTGTTATTCATCAGGCTGAAATTCTGGAAGGATAGTTGGTGTAGTAGCAGGCCTTTAGCTGAGTGTTTTCCTTAGTTGTACCAGCTTGCAGAAAATCAGGATGTATTGGTGGCTGAATGCTATGAACTGAGAAATAACATCCTTGCTTGGACCCCCTACTTCAGAAGACAATTCCAAGATTGGGAAATAGACCAAGTGGTTGAGCTGTTTTAGCTGCTATCTAACCAGTGGAAAGAAGATACTTGGACCTGGAACTGGTTTGTAGATGGGTTCTCAGTTAGCTCTTTTGCTAGAAGCTTAATAGTAGGAGACAGAGCTGAGGTTCCCGCTGATAAGATCTGGAATCCGTTTCCCCCTCAAAAGTAAATGCCTTGGTTTAGGCTATAGTGCTGGATAAAAGCCTCTCAAAACAGAACCTGGTTAGAAGAGGAGTGATGTGGCTCATTGTGACACTAGCAAGTGCACTAGCCGTTCAAGTAGTAAAGAGGTGAATAGAGTATCATTCCCACGAGGATTTAGGAAACAACTACTAATACTAAATTGGCCAATTCTTATCTGATTAACAACACATCATAACTCTATTCAAAAATTAAAATCCTAAGCTAAAATCTAACTAAAAAGCATTGGCTCAAATACCTTCTATTCAAGTTAAAAGAGTAAACAAGAAAATCTAATTTCATGATTCAGCAAACAAACTACTCAACTCTTTCGAATAGGCCATGATTCAACCTTGATTTGGTGAAACCCCAAGGTCATGAACAACCTTTTTCAAGAGCATGTTCATCTTATGCATGAATGGTGATCCTTATATCTCTATCAAGGATCTAATCATTCATGCATGCATTAATTCAAACACATCAAGGGCATCAATTCAAATCTGAATTGATCACCAACTGAATTGTGCAAGTTATCTCTAACCTTGCATGCAATTCAGTTCTCGAATAGTAGATCTGAATTCCTAGAGTCTCTCAAACACTCTAGAAATTCCAAGCATTAGATCAAATCGGCCAACCTGAAAATTGAAGGTCTGAATTCTTTCTCAAGCAATTCAGATCTTACAAATCTCAGAATTGAGATTTCAGATCTAAGTTTGTGAGAGATAAAATCGGCCAATCTGATCTAGAATTCACACCCTATTCAAGAAACAATAAGAAGAGATATGGTCTATTCGAATGATAAAGAAATTTGATTACACAATCTGAAATTTTACAGCATTGATTACAACAACAAAGAATGAAAGAGAGGAAGAGAAAATTAAATAAATAGAAGCAGAATTCGAACTCAAGAAAATAAAGACTGTAGAAATAGAACAAATGATCTCTCAATCAAAATTTCCCCAAATTCGAACTCACCTTCTTCTCTTCTTCCTTGCTTGAATCTCTTCAGCCCTTCTTCTTCTTGCGCCTAGCTCCTTCTTCTCTCTTCTTCCCTTCAAGGAATTCGAACCCCAAAGGAATGGAGAGCCTTGAACTTGGGCAAAATGAACACCTCTCCCCCCTCTAGAGACCTCCTTATATAGGCTTTCAAGGAAGCTCTAGCCTCTTCTTGAAGCCCTTAGAATTGGGTGCATTACACCCCTCTTGAGCCTTCTACAGTGCTCCCTCATTCTCTTCAAGAATCCTCAAGAAGTTACCGCCCCTAGCTCCCTTTGGGCTGCAACTTAGCTTAGTTTTGAGCATATTTTGGCTGCACTCTAGGCTGTTCTTGGGCTGAAATGGGCCTCTTCTTTGCTGGGCCGAATTTTCCTTCTTGTTAGGCTCTTTCTTTGGGTTTTTCCCAAAGAGTGTACCTTGCACTACTTGGGCCGAATGATACTCCTTTGCTCTTATGGATGGGCCGGGCTGAATTTGATTAAAATTGGGCTTTCTTTTCTTGCTTTTTGCCTTCTTTTTCTTGAGTTGGTTGTCCCTGAAATCTTTCTTGTAATCAAGCTAAAATAGGGTGAAATTCAATTAAACCAACATAAAACTCCATGCAAAAACCTCATAAATTATAGGTAAATTACGTGCTCATCAAATACCCCCACACTTAAGCTTTTGCTTGTCCTCAAGCAAAGACATCAGTAATAAACTGAACATTCCCCCTTTTCACTATTTACCGGGTGAATTTTTAGGAGGAAAATGCATTGAGTGGTTTGGAAACTTTTGTAAGTGTTCAGCTCCTATTCTTATAAACTACCATTTAACACATGCATAAGAGCCAAGGAAAAGAAGAATATGAGTTTCTCCAAGTTCCAGCTTTCATTCCTATTCAATATATTGATCAACTCCTTGATTGTCAAAATTAATAATCACTTTAAACTACATTTCAAATCTGTAACTACACCTCATTGAGAGTTCAACTTCATTTTGCCCTTTTGAACCTCAGCTGTCACTACATTTTCTTTGTCATTTTTTCTAGGAGTGAGTGCATTTTATGCTCCATCTCACCCTTTTCTCCCGCTTTTAGTGTGAGTGCATTTTATGTTCCATCTCACACTTCTCTCCTCTCTCTCTTTTTTTTTTTTGAATTTGGTGTGAGTGCATTTTATGCTCCATCTCACACTGGTCACAAGCTTGAGGCAGATAGCAAGACTCATGTTTTAAGCTGCTAGTTTTACTATTTACCTTAGAATAGCGGAGTCAATTTGGGCTTTGTCCCTTTTGCATTTGTTGAATCTCATGCATCAGCAATTCAGATGTGACCTAGCTCGACTGACCATTAATGATACAATCAAGAGCTTTCATACACATGGAAGTAGTTAGGGCTAGTCATGCTGAAAGACATATTCAGCTCCCCTTTTTCTCATGCATGTACTAAGTTGGGTCAATCACAAGAATAAAAACTTAACACATACATTGGTCTCATGCATGTAGTGACAAGTACTGATACACCCAAAGATCCAACTACATCACTTGTCCCCAAAACCACCATTCCGCATAACCTCTAAAAGAAACTCCCAGTCCACCAAATCATAGGCCTTTTCAAGATTCAATTTACAAATGAATCCTTTCCTACTAGACCTTTTCATTTCCTCCACACACTCATTCGCAATTAAGATCTGATCTGTTATTTGTCGCCCTTGAATGAAAGCCCCCTA